CCTTTTTACCTTCCAGGATCTGCGATTTCAATTTACTTTCGTTAATTAAATTTTCGTACAGATAGTTAATTAACTTGGTATTCTGATGGTTCTGTTTAATGAACACTGGAAAATATTTGATTACTGGCTGAAATTTATTCAATCTTCAGTTGAAGAGAATTTTTAAAGGAAAAGTTAATTGTATATGCACTAATATTACAAATATTCGTAATAGCTTCGTCAGATGTATCTAATTATGAAAGGGTTGAAACTGATCTTCATAGTCATTCTAATTTTCTTTTCAGCTTACATTCATGAATACCTATTCTTCTCGTACGCTCTTATCTTGTTTCTTCAATCTTTTTATCGCGTTTCGAGCTTCTTTCACTCCGATTACCGCAATACCTTAAAGAATACCCTTCACACATCGTATCAACAGCAACGAGGATCAATAACTCTATCAAAAGATTCATCGCAAAAACAAGATACTTCTTTCTCCTATTACATCATTCGCTAGGAATGATCGATTCGATAGAAAAAAATGAAACATTGATAAGCATAAAATATTAAGAGTTTACGTTTTAAATCCAGGACTGCTGACTTCGACTTTTAAGTTTAATTAAAACGTAGACAATAATCATAATACTTTCATAGCAACGTCAGCGTTCATTTTTTATATTGAAAATGGCAAAAAATTATTTACACGGTTACTCTTTGTTACGAGGATATTATTAATTAATGTGAAAGAAAAATTTTCAATTTCTTAAAATAATTTAATACCTATTAAATTCTAGCAAGCTCTAGACATTGTCCTGTTTAAATCATAGTATAATTAAATTTTAGGTGTTACATAAATTATATTATAATCAATTTCGGAATGGATTGTTAAGTTGGGTGGGGTCGTTTAACGCTCGCCATCGAACCGATTATTTCCTACATGACGAAACATGCAACGTAAGGAAAAAACTGTACACAATGCAACGCGACGATATAATATCCCGAGGGCGCACATCGACCCCCATTTGTAACCGGGAATTTGATATAGGTGGACGATAAAACGTGATGCGGAACCAGTTAATTTTCAGACCTTTATGGGGCGGCAACCCTTCCAGTCTTTATACCGTTCATTTGACTGTCAACAACTGACATTTGCAGAATTGAACCCTTGCACTACGACGATTGGGTTATTTCTGTTTCGTGTCTGGCGAGCTAAGAAGGAACATCGAACGAGGGTGGGTTGAAAAATTTTGTTTCCTTTGGGTTATTTTAGTTAACCCGAGGTGGTTGGGGTTGAAATAATTTGTTGATTATAATTAGTAGAATTATTATAATATTAGTGGTTAATAATTAATAATTGTAAATAGAAATGGAAGTAGTTTTGTAAATAGGAAAATAATAAATCCCCTTTTATTAAAGTGGAGGCAATCTTTTTAAGATTAAGGGATAAAAATCACCCTTTGAAAATTCACACCCCAGGGCTATCGCAGAATCTATTAAAGATAAAAATACAATTTAAATTGAAAATTGATTGTATTGCCTTTCGTTTGAAATAGCTCGGAATCGTACATCATAAATCATAATCGATTGCTTTCTCCTTTTGTTAAAAATTAATTGTCCGAGTAACAAATTCTCTGCTGGTAAATTGATTTCAGCTGATACTAACATTTTTACGACTAACGATTTTCAATTTGCACGTTGTTTAAAAAAAAGAAACATTGAATTTTATGATGCAGTTAGATCACAATATTTCTACCACATATATTTTCCATATCTCTTTTTGCAAGGAGGACGCATATATTTTGTTAACATGTTATTCTTCAATATTTGCAATGCTCCATTGAGTCTTTTTTTGGAGTGCGAAAATTCTGTATGGTCGACTGCAATTCAGGCTGTGATTAATTAAAAAGAAATGTAAAAGAGGAGTCCATATTTTTCATATATGAAAACAGGAGTCTCACCCTGGGTTCTCCCAAGACTGAAGGCAATTAGTGGTAGATTTCTACCCCTACGCTTACCCTTAACCAAGAGAAGTCTGCATTGCACCCAAGTGTATGTCAAAATGACCCTGCATCAACCTTAGAGCAGTTTTTCGAGAATTAATTAATAACTGTATCTCAAAAATAAGAATTCATATTGCCAGAAAGGTGACCGTTTAATTTCATAAAAGATCACAATTTAAGGGACAAAGAATCCAATTGTGTCCTCGGATTTGTCGTTCAGATCAGGTCAGAATTTAATCATCCGTCGCGATGATAGATCCCGAGAAAGCTCGAGCACGTTGAAAGTGGTGTATGAAAAATTCATCGGCTGACACGAGTATCAACGTTGAACAACTTGTTACCCGGCAACTTGGCCGATATAGAGCAAGGGGTAACGTCATTGAACAAGAGATAATTTTTCGACGAAAGCCTAGTAGCACGTAAAGCTGTGTTAAATAAACAAACTTTCGTTCGATCTACTTTCAACCAGGACACTTCGTTCTGATATACAACGGGTGAAGTACGTACATATCTCGGTAATTTCAACGTCCATATAAATTTTCTGAGAAGAATGAAAAACAAGTGAAGAGCTCAAAGAATGGAAGAGGGTGAATACCATCCACCCTTATAATAATAATTAATATGATTATTTAATTCTCCAGTCTGAGCTATCAATTGCTATGTTAGTTTCAAGTGTATATTGACACTGTATCCATGGGGTGAGACCTTCATTTACAGTATTAACTGTTAGCTAACATAGTGTAGTCAAGGGACTAGTTTGGCTAAGAGACTAATTTATGATCCGTCTCCTCCCTGCTACTAATGTAATAGTAATACTACTCAGAGTTCTCTTATTTCTTCATTTTTCAAAATGTTCCATTTCACCTTTATGAACGGGTTAAACCGAATTCATTCTGTAAATATGAGATTTGATATTGGTCAGTTATTAAACGTGGAGTGCAGTTTAGTTCGTGGAAATCTAGTGATAGTTAATACGTAATTTGGGATTATTGAAATCCAGCATAATATTTCGAATTCTCGCTTTAGTATGTTAATAAAATAGTACCGCACGGGGGACAGGAATTGGAGTAGGGGGTTGCATTAACGTATTCAGTATCGAAATGTATAGAATGCTGGAGGGATACAATAAGTTCGACGTGTGGGATGTCTGATGATAGACGAGTCCCATATTCAATTCCAGACAGGAACGATGAAGGTTTATAATGGGTTTTTATTATGATCATGATCGGGAAAATTGTATTATGATTTTTATTCTCGTTCGGTATAATTGTTTCTTAAAAAGGGATTTTAAAATCATTAGCATACATCTCTTTTTCTTAATTCAATTATATTAATATTTCAAAAAGCATATGGGCCATTTTACGTTGATTAAAATATAAAAATCTATCCAAAATCATGCTATTGCAAATATATCTTATAAATTTTCATTCTACATTTTTATTTTTTATTTTATGTTACCGTGCACTTTGAAAGCTGTATGTCTAGCGTTATCTGGTGGGTGTCGGATAAATTAATGAAATAGAAAATTGTATCGAATATTATTAGTTTAAATCCTTTATTTAATATACGTACAAATTTTTTATCTTTCATTTTAGCCGGTTGATACTTTCTTATATTATTAATAATGCTGTACATAAACAGAGTGCATAATGCAATTTACTTAACATGGTATCGTCTGTTGGAATATGATCGTGGGCTGATAATGAAGATATTTCTAATATTTTATGAATATAATTTCATATCGAATCATTTTTAATATTTAAACTTACTTGATTTAACACAGTAATGTACTTTATCGTATTGAAATAAAATAATGTCATTTTGAATATTTGAATTGATTTCATATGTGAGCTTAGCACAATGCACTGCAGAGGGTGCTGCATTCTGTGTTATTGTAGAGTGTTCTGCTAGCTCTCGTTTCTACTTAAAAACATTACAAATTTAGTTATTAAAATGATAAAATCCACATTGCAATTGGCGATACGTCCTCTTGCAAGGACAGTGATTTCACCTGTTAAAAAGTCTACTGTATTGCCATGTATTCAGTTGATTGATATTCGAAATATTCATATAACCTCAAATGCATTGAAGGAACTTCGTCATGGAAAAGATAAAATCAGAGTTAAGCCCGAAAAACAATATGTTGCTGAAGGAGAAGGAATAAGTAATATCTCTCTTATCTCTGATTCGGTGTAAGTGCTATAAATTATGTATAATATATAACTTTCTCTTACTCGATATTTCTCTTTCTACCTTTCTCAATTTTAGAAACACCTTATTTCCTGATATTTCTACACCAAATAAGATTTTTGATGATGTACCATATAATAAGTTGCATATTATTAATATAAAGACAACAAAGAATAATACGATAATGACTCTCACTGATCACAGAGGCAAGTTTAAGTTCATAGGTGTTGTTCTTCAGACATTATGGTTATAATTCTATTGCAATTCTAATGCTTTATAGGACAGGTAATTATAACACACACCGCTGGTGTTGAAGGTTTTAAAAATACAAGGAAGGGTACTAATGTTGCTGCACAGCAAACTGCTAATGTAGTTGGGCTGGTGAGGAGATTACTTGTAATGATATTTACTTGATCTATTAAATTTCTTTTATACTTTTACTATGTATTTTATGTTTTCTAAGCGTGGCATTGAAAAAGGAATTAAAACAGTCAGAGTAAGAATACAAGGACTTGGGCCTGGTAGGGCGGTGAATATCAGACATTAGCAGTTAGAATATCTGTTTATATGATATTTTCATCATCAATGATTATTATTATTGTTTATCCAGGGTTCTTTGAAAGGTCTTCAGCTTTCAGGAATGAATATTGTTTCTCTCACTGATGATACTAGGGTATCATGGAATCCTCCAAGACCAAGGAAACAAAGAAGGATATAATTTATAGAATGTATCATCAGATCTTCAATAAATTTGTTTATTCTGAAGTATATATTTCATATATAATTATATACAAGATGTTACATTAATTTACAATATAATACACTATCATCTTCTCAAAGTATTTGTTGTAATTTTACCATACAACAATTATACAATAACATGACTAGATAGTAAAACATATTTCACAAAGTACTTACATTTAATTATAACGATCTTTTGTAGTCTTTAATAGGAATTGTTTTATCACATTTTGCATCACTGTTAATGGGTTACCGATATTAATTGCATTACATTATTTTACATTACATAAATTAAGTTTCTCATTCTTTTCTTCTCTGTCCTAGTGTCTCACGAATTGTCTTATAAATAAATGCTACCCCCAAACCCTTGTTAAGATGATTCTCCACGAAATAAGTCTTTAATTCTTCTTCACCGAATCGAAAGTACTTGTTGGGAGATCCAAGGTATATATTCCGAGACTCGTGTGTAGAGACCAGGAAGTCGTGGTCGGCCGCATCCGACCCCGGAAGAGACAATTCCTACGACCATCATCTTATTCCCCGATAGACCTTCGATCATCAATGGTCCGCCACTGTCAGCCTGTTAACAAAAGTATGATATCATTAAAAATAACGTTCTTATCTTCTCGCAAAATCTTGCAAACGCTTCGAAGAAATATAAACTCACAAAATTCTTCATCATTCTATTTCGTCAAACTGAAATTTGCGAAAATTCACATCTATGTGTTATAAATCGAACAAGATGGTGAAGGAATTTGGAAGGAAACGTGAAATAGGAAAAGACAGGGTGGGTTTGGGTCCTTTCAAAAATGTAGATTGAATCCTCATTAATCCACGATTCTAAAAGTTTAATGTTCTAAGCTCTCAAATGCTTCATCATGCATATCTTTCCAATTGACCAAGAATCTCTAATTACTCTCTAATAAATTTCTAATAAAAAAAAGATAGGATGGATTTGGGTCCTTCCAAAAATGTAGATTAAATCCTCATTAATCCAAGATTCTAAAAGTTTAATGTTCTAAGCTTTCAAATGCTTCATCAAGCATATCTTTCCAATTGACCAAGAATCTCTAATCACACGAACGAATCCAATTCTTAAGTAATATCCTACCCAATCACCGTATTACCTCCCACAGTCCCAGATAACTAACCGCAGTATGTACAAATCAACGATATGGTTCAATGAAGTAGAAGACACTCTCTGAAATGGTCCGCGAACGGAATACGCAATAAAACGTATCGGCTTGGAAACACGTGCACGTATTCCCGAACCCTTTTCCCGCAGCTGGCTGTCACCGATAATTACGTTATATCGAACCGCAATATTTTTGTCAACATATTTTTCACTGGGTCTCTCGTATGTCACCTTTTTTCCTCCTCCCTTGTTTCGCGGTCGAACGATTTGGCCTCTCGCGGTATTCGCTGTTAATTCAACGTACGCATCCGTTGCATGACCGCCGATATTTATTGAAATTCGTGTCGCGGTCGTTCGACAGCGCGTGAATTTCCTGCGCGTAATCGATTGACGGATCTATTCGTTATCTAACAAGCTGAACGCAAGTTGAAAGAAGATCGATACAGTAAACTCTCGTTATATCACTGATTGAGCGTTCGTCGTAGCTCTTTTTATAATACTAATTTCATGAATTTGCTGCTAATTTAAGCGGCAATATATTGAGAGTTTATTGTACTGTAAGAATTATCAGTCTGAGATAAAGTTTGGGTATTTAGGATAAGAGACACTTTTGATTCGAGAGTGTTCGAGGAAATTTTCGAGGTTTCTGTTAAATTTTACGGAAGGAAGGGACAAGTGGAGGGTAAAGTATAAGGGTTCACTTACCCAACAAGCGTCTCGACCGCCTTCTTCGTGGCCAGCGCACATTTGCTTCTCTCCCACGCGAGTCGACTTGCCCTGGCTGGCATACCACTCGCGACAAACGTTGTTCTCGATCACGCGAACGTCCACTTTCTGCAACACGTCCGCTCGTTTATCTGGAAGACAGCGAAACGTTCTTTGCTAGCGGAAACGTTTAATCCCGAGTTTGTTGGATCTCGATGTTTAAGGGTAATCTCGTCGAGCAAACAGTGTACCGAAACGTTTGAACTGTGTATATTGGTACATTACAGGGTACAAACATTAATCGATTCGTAGCTATCTGTATAGAAATCATTGATATATAATTTTTCCATTTGCCATCGAGAAAATGCTTTCTGTTCTACGTAGTTGAAATTGTCGTAAATCGAAAAAGCTCTTCAGCGGGAGTCGTTGAAATTTGATTTCACCGAAAGCGTCTTTCGACCGAAGTTCAATTCCAAAGGTAGCCTTGGTTCTTTTGATTCGACGAAGCGAGCCGGAATTCAGTCGTAGAATTCGCAAGGATAGAAGCTCGTAGTGGAAAAGTTCACGGTGTACAGCTCTTTGACAATTTACATTAACAACGATTCTATTTGTATGAAAACGAAACAGTAATTGAATCGTTACAGGAAAGCTTGCGTTTCTCTCGTCTCTTAATTCATCAATAGACCAACTCGTTCGTGAAGACCTCGTTAAAAAGAACTTGCAAAAGAGTGCGAAAGAAGGGAGAAAAAAAAGAAAGAATTATTCGTCCGGGTTCGATTTTATGTCGTCCAATTAATTTCACGAAACGTAGAGCAATTAATCGTCGAGAGTTTCAGTTGGCGAGTGAATTACTGTACAGAGAAGGAACGTGGAATTATTTACTTACATTTAGATCTATCTTCGCCGAACCACCCCCATCCAGCGGCCTTAGCAAATTCCCCGCCGAAGGCGCTGTACCCTGGTTTCCCTGTGGCCACAGGTAAACAGGCGGGTTTCACGCTCTCCGACCAACTGATTGGCCTAGCCAGCTCCAGAAGGGCAATATCGTCCACGTATTTTCCACATTTGTGGTCCGGATGCAGGATAATTCTGGCTACTCTCTCTTCTTTAGACGCCGGCACTTCCGGTTCCTTTAAATTATACTCGCCCAGGCTCACTCGCAATTGACCGGCGGGTACCATCGATCTTGCTCTGAATCGAACGAAAGAAACTTCATTATTTCTCGTCTCTGATTAGTTGGATGATAATAAGAAAAATAGAAATTCGAAAAGTATATTCAACTTCTCCGTCAATAGACATAGAACGTTTAAGATTTATACCGGTAACTAAACAACACCTGCAAGCAGGATGACTGCAGAAAATTAACTTCCATCTTAAATCATCGTTGTTCTACAAACTCCTCCAACTTCTCCTCGTGTAACAAGTTGCATTTCTGTACCGACCTTTATCGGCAACAAAAGGAGGTGCCATAAATTTCATTCCCATTCCTTCTAAATCTTCTTTAACGTCGTTAATTAGCAGTCCAAGACCGCGGGTTACAAAAGTGCGTCGAAACAAGCTACTCGAGTTACCTTTTTTATGCTCGTATCTCTTCGAGGTACAAAACGGGGTTACCGTTGAAAAATGCCAAGTTATAACTTCCACTTTATGCACCTTACGGGATACACGTAGGCCAAGTAGGACAAATAGCTTGCTCCGTTGCCGGTTTCAGCCCGGTAACGAGTCAAAGTCCGGCGACTATGTAGCCGGCAAGTAATCATCGCGAGAGTTAAGTACGCCAAGAAGCAAGCGTATAGATGGTACAAGGAATAAAGAAACGTTTGTGCCATCTTGTTTCTCTGGCTCCTTTCATTTCCTCCACCTCCGACCTTTTGAAAAGCAACCCCTTCTCTGGCGATGTCTTCGCTTAGCAACAGGCAATTATTCGTCCCACATTTTTGTTAAATAATCAGTTAATATAGGAGGCAGTGACGCGAGTATCGTATGAAATTTTACCTCTAGGAATATTTTCATAAAGAACAAAAGCAAAAGCAAGAGGGGTGTCGAATTCACAATTGACAGAGTGTTGTATAAATGGAACGATCGAAAGCGAGATTGCCATGAAACAGTTAGCAACCCCTCGTTCCTTTTGCAACAGAGTGTGCGACCGTATTAACGCTACAATTAATGGTTGGCTTCCCGTAAAAAGGCTACTCGTTCCCTCTGGCCGAGCCATCGTTTAGCCAGCGGTGCATTTTAATTGGAAGGGTGCGATGATAAGGGGAACAGGGACGATGATGCAACCGGGCTAAATCGTGTAATCTGCGAGCACGGTGGAACAATAGAATGGCCTCGACGAAGATGGAAGGGTCTATTAACCGGGGTTTTCGAAGAAAAGACAAAGCAGGGACCCTGAAACTTGGGGTACCTTCGGAGGTACAATTGTAAATTCACTCGAAGAGGAAAACCGGTAAACCGTTGTTATTCTGTTAATTATTTGTCTGCCACGTTATGACAAGTTTAATTGAATTTCACCTATTAACTGCTTGAAATATTTTTCCAATATATAAAACTCTACATTCAGTGATTCATTCTCTTCATTGTAAATAAAATTCTTGCGCCTGGTTAAACTGTTCAGCTGCGCTTTCAAGTATTTTTCAATTAAACGTAGTAAATCGAATATTAACGCTTCAACTCTTTCAATGAATTCACGTATTGTTTGGCTTCTGAGAATTGGAATATTGTTGGATAAACGAGTATATATTTTTTCCAATTTTTAACGATTTATCCTCTTCATAGAGTTTGCAATTTTTATTTTATTATTCGTATGGAAATAATAAATTTAGAAAATTTGAAGCCTCGTATAGCTGTTTTCTGTACAATGGACAATTTTCATTTGTAACGCGGCAAAAGGGTTAAGTAACTACTCGTTTCCCGCAGTTTTTCCACGAATAATATCGTTTCGCTTGCAGAAGTGCATTAACGAAATTTATTTGAACCGTTTCCGTGAACGATAAAGAAAAGGCAGACAATGGCCCGGGGTCGGATATATTTTCGCGAGCTCGCGCCTGCTGGCAACATTTTGTCATGCGTTTTGCATGGCCACTAGCAATTACCCAGTGGTCTGTAATCTACACGCAATCATGGTTTACAACGGCGAAGCTCCGTTGAATTCTCTCTATGGTTACCCTGTCCAGCTTCAACCCTATCTACCTCTCTGCCACCCTCTGTCTGCTTCATCCACAGAGCGATACGCAATGTCTACACGTTTCATCGCGCAACGTTCCTCTCTCGACATTTAATTACACCGCCATCGACGTTGCTAAATCTCCGCGGTGTAATCCCCGAGAAAGAGGCATCGCGATTATATTTTTCGAAAACTATTATACCGGACGATTGCTAAACTTTTCATAACTCCTGTTGCGAGATACTTTGAGCGACGAGGTGGAAACGGGAGCACAGCGAATTACTTTTGAATCTAATTACCAGACTGATATCGAGCGTTTACATTATCTACACTTTTAAGGACGAATTTCTGAAATGAGACGGAATTTATTTTGTCAGGAACGAGGTAAACGTAGGACTTGAATTTAATGGAAATCTTTAATTAAACACGTTGCTTTATGCGTTTCCATTCGAGCTAGAAAAATACACCGGTGGTTTCAATCAAAATGTAATCGTCGCTCTAATTAACATCGATATCGTTCTCGTTTCACGAACCACGAGGGAACGCGTCGTTTTATATAATTTCAACGAAGTGATTGGTCGTTTATCCGGTCGTTTCGACGATCACAAAGCTAGCCTGCAAGTCAGAGAAACGTTTGTCCTGCTAACAAACGTTCGATATTCGAACGAGTACATTTGCATGTATAAACTCATCGTGATAGGCCAGGAATTCTTTTTCCTTCTCATCCTTTCGACCTTTCGTTCGTTCCATTTAGTTTTCATTATTAACGCACGTCGATTAAACGAACCCAGTTTTCTTCCGATCTTTTCATTTGCCAATTGTTCTATTGGTATTCTAAATAGGGAAATTTTGTAATTGCCTGAAGAGTAATTTTCTAAATGCCAATTTGGTAATTAGTAAATTTTGCTAATTGTCAATTTGCTAATTTCCTAAATGCCAATTAGGAAATTTTTTCTAAATGCTAAACTGGTAATTAGTAAATTTTACCACTACCAAATTTTGGTAATTGTCAAATTCGCTAAGTTTCCAAATTTATCCCAAGAAAATTTCCCACACTTAATATTCAACATACGATAAATCCAAAGGGAAGAATTTTTCCCCCATTTAAAGCGGTGGGTTATAAAAATTTGTAACCGTGAGGAAAATAGTCTTTCGTAATTTCTGAACGCGGCCGGTAAATTCTTTTATCCTTTTACCGGGACGTGATGATTTTTGCAAGCGTAGCTGGCCAACATCAGCTTCACGAATTTCTGGATTTTTAAAGCGGCACAGATTTCGCGTGGACCGCGCGAACGGATTAAGCGGATTACGACGCAGTTGCTCGCAAAGCGTTTCGAGGGAACGAGTTCTTAAAAAATTCAACCATCCTGTCCCTCGAACTTTAAATCGCATTCACGTGATGCTTCTCTCCCTTCAATTTCGCGTTCAACTCTCGGACCATCAGGATATTTGTCACGAAAACTGGATTATTAATAAATATCTTTTCCTAAATAATGTCAAACTTTGTCTACCAAACGATATTAAATTTCAAAATTTTAGGTAGGTACTATAATTTTTTGGAAAACTGTATTATCCAACTCTGCTCCTTCTGTCTTCCCATAATTAAATAAAGTTTCATTAATATTAATATCCATTTCTAATATCATTCTAACCATTCATTTATTTTTGCAGGTTCAAATGGGTTTCATCCGATTGCCATTGAAATTTGGATCTCTTTACCATCCCTTTGCCAGCGATCAATCTATTTAGTATGATTTTCGGCTTTCATCGTCCAACAGTCTTGGTAAGTACCTTTCAACATTTCGCATATTCATGACCATGATTATTGCAAATTATACACGGTATTAATGCGTTTCCATGACATTCGAATTACGTGGTTCCAGTTGAAAAACGAACCAGTTACTATTCACCGAGATTTTACTGCAACGAATCGAATATCACACTATTCAATTGAGGTCGGGATCGGAATAATTACAGCATGGTTTGTTGGACAAGATGGTGCTCCTCGCGTTTTGCTGACATTTACACAGACGGCACTGACAATTTTGGCACACGGATTCTGCGAATATCCTTTTGATAAAATCTCCATCCGCGAACATTTACAGATCCGATTACTTGGAAGAATGGGCAACTTTCCATGCAGAAACAGTCGGTTTTATGCCACGAATATTTTCCACGGTAAGTTGCATATTGATTAACGTGCATGCATTGAAATTTAGATGCACTTTTTTCGCTGATTATTTCTGCTCTTCGATGCTACCGAATCGATTAGGCTAATTGATACGTTCTGAATTTATTAATCAGACTCGTTCATTTTTATCTGGATTTTAAGATCGACAATTGTTGAAATAATATTTCAAAAGTATCTAAATCTGAGAATAGCCGCTCGACAAAAGCTCACCTGCGATTACTATCAATACTGAACTCGTACAATGCAGGAATCGTGAAAGGATAAAAGCGCGGCGAGGGAACTCGAGGAAAACTACAATGCATAGTATACTTACGAACACAAGCAATGCGCTGCAGTCAGGACGAATCTTGAATTAAGAATGGTACCACCGCAGAAGTGTCCTCCTTTTCTGCTGATGCTCACCATCCAAGGAAATTCGTGCGGTATCGCGTTTTGTCCTCCGACCAGCCTTGCCGTGCGTGTAGCGAATCTTCCTTGGCCGCATGGCACATCGGCAACTGTTATCAAGTAAGTACACGTTATCTCGTTAAAAGTGTCGCCAATCGATTACGATAGACGCGAACGAAACGCGTTGTAATGTACGATCTTCTATACAATTAGACGGTGAAACGATTCCGGGAAATGCTGCAACAAAGCAGCCGTACCAGCTCGTCCTGGTTTCCCTGCCTTTTTTTTTTTTTTTCATTAAACGAGCCAACAGAGCAGCATCGTTGCGACGCTGCCAGGAAAGTTCATTTCAACTTTTATCGGAAATAATCACTTAGCAAGCACGGTGTTCATTAACGGAACCGAATCCTATTTCGTTTGTTACCTTCCAGGAATAGTGTCCTCCAGTTACAGGATGTATGTCCCAGATAGGGTTTTAGTTTCGAGATACATTAATAGGAATTTTAGATTGTTTTCGGTGAATTAATTAATTTTGGGAGTGATTTTGAGAAATATTGAAATTTTAGAAACATGGTATCGTGATTTCGTTGTTTCGGTGTCTTTTTCGTGATCGGTGCCGGAAAGTGGCCAACATCCTTAAACTGAGATAAAACGCATGGGCGAAACGCGTGGACGAGCGTTTAATTGAAAGCTGAAGCAACGCGTACAGCGGAATGTTAACCGATTCAAGAGGATCCGAGGCCGGTGACGGCACCGGTACTGGCATCGCGCGAATTTAATGCCCCGAGCAGATAGGGATAGATACGGCGGATCTGTCACCGCAATCCCTGCGACAACCCGTAGCCACCCCCTTCGACCATCCTCCAACACCGAACCACCCCCTTTCTCCCCCCCCCCCTCTCGTTTCACGCCCTGGCTGATTAATTGGACCTCTACGTCTGCACCACCGATCTCCACCCACTGTGTGGGACCCTCTTACCCTCCTCTCTCATAGTTTCCAGCCCCTTTCTCTACTTCCGCCCTCTGCTTTCTCTTCCCATCGGCCCTTCTGTCATCCAGGGAAGGAAGAAGACGAGCAGACAGCGGGAGAAGGATGGGAACAGGGCATAGAATTCGAAGTCTCCTCTATTCGGAAATGCGTAATAGATATGTCAAAAGCAGGCCGAACATGGTCATGATAATATGCTGATGCTTTCGGTGCAGCGTACCATGGAATGGGAATTCCCCTTGCTCGTTTACCCTTCCTCTTCGTTTGCAGGGTTTTTTTTTTCGAGAATGGACAGACTGGAGACTCTTTTTAGAGGCTTTTGTACGGATTCTGGCTGCAGGTGGCAGCGGTACCAGTTATTTTAACCAGGTACCAGTCGAGGAGGAAAAGGAGAATAGGGACGTCGAACCCTTTCGCTTTCGTTCGGTATCTCTTTTATGGTTAAGGGTTGATTTGAGTCTTTGTTGAATATGCATTTCGTGAGACATTTTTCTATCTTCCTTTATTTTCAGAAATTTCACTGTCTTTCGAAATATTTTGAATTATTTAGTCAATTTATATTGATATTTATAGGATTCTCAATTGATCGGAAATATTATAAGCCAACAAGAAAGTATAATTTCTATGATTTCTTAATTTCTAAATAGAGAAAATGTCATTGCGAGTAATTCGTTGCACGTTAATCCCGGTTGTTTCTCTTCCAAATAACAGCCATACGTTCCTGAAATTCTCGTTAACCACATCAATGGTTCTCTCGTTTACAGTGTCATCCGTATTATCGGTGTCTATCAAACATTTCATTTCATACGAGTTTATCCCTGAAAAACGGCGGAACGTATTTGCATCGTAAACGATACGAAGCGTGACGATGAATTTCACGCGGATTAAAATCGGTCAGATAAAAAAATAAAAGAGAACTATCGATTAAAACTCGTCGCAGAGCGATTACCCGAATAGAATATTTTTTTTTTTTTTTGACACGTGTAATATCAAAAGGATTCTGACTACTATTAGTAGATTTTAATATGATATTCAGTAGTAGAAAACATGATTGTCGCGGCGTATGAATTATAGGATCGTAAAGGATTAATTAAGGCTGTCTAGATCGATGGTAATTTATCCTGATAATTAATTTATCTTGCCACTCGATACGGCTCGACCCTATAACCCGTTGGTTACGAGAATGATTTACGTAATCGTAACGGAAATATTTCGTAAATGATATTTCCGAGTGTCATGCGAGGAATTTGGAGAATTAGACACGTGAAAGTTTTCACGATTACTGTGTCCCCTCTTCATGGGGAATAATTTCATTTTGTTCAATCAAATTTCACGGTTTCCTATTCGTTTCATACAGGGTGTTTTATCGAAAACCATCACAGATATAAGAAAACTTCTAACTCGCGGACCGCGCGTGATATACATGTATGAGCATACGTGCAGCTATTTTTATGAGATATACATTTATTAATCACAGTAAGGTCTTGTTTTCGTTGCTTTCCATGTCATGTCTTTGTAACAAAGGCTGGTATTCAGACATGCAGATATTAAGATAACAGAATCATTGTTCTGTACTTAACACACGTATCGTTATATGCACATAATACACGAAAATGACAGACAATTGTTGAAAATTAATCAATTTTAGTTAATGTAATTTATGATGCATTGTGTAAGTATCAAAATATTTGAATTTCAGAATGATATTTTAATCCTATTGTTTTGCACACAGACACTTTGTGTTGATTAAATCATATTTATTTGTGGCCATAAAGCATACTAATGAAGTTCAGTCAGATAATTGTGATACGGGTACACAGGATATGTAAACGTCAGTGTCCAAAACATTTATCACGAAATGTTATCAGCTTGTAATAATATATTTATTGAACTTAAGTTACGTAAATTCACAGTCTTCATATTATTAAAATTGCAATTCTTTTATTCTAATTGGGATAAATAATTCAACTTTCCCTTAAGAAATTTTCTTATTTCTCTGATAGCTTTCGAGATCCCATTTTTCTGCTGTAATTTCAATGGTTGATTTCACCCTCTAAACTTGCAATTGGGTAGCTATAAAAATCACGTGTCCCTTATTTCCACCTGCTTAATATATCCATCAAGTTTTATCAAAATCGGAGACAGCTTGAGACCATCATAAATTTCCCTACATTGTCAAATAAGTAATCATTTGATTTCTCATTTGACAAGAAATATCCAGTGTGTAATCGGTCCCACATCTACTTATCACTATTATATAGGTACTAATTAAAGTAGATTCTTTAGACAGATAAGATAACCACTATTAGGAAGAAGTTGGAGCAATTTTCGACTCGATATCTCACGGTCAAAGAGCCGTGAAACTTTGGAGGCCATCGATCATACTCGTCTTCTTAATTACCGTTTCGATGGTTCGGTGATTGATTTCAAAGAAGATCCACCGCGGATGATTCGTTCGCTCGATTTCTGATATTTTAACTGGACGAGTCTGTTCGATTGGGTCGAGTCGAAAATCGACGTATTTTCGTTTCGCTAATTTATTGCCAATTACGTATTCCCATTAACGTGATTACCTTGGCGTGCGTGCGAGCTATTAATTTGTCCCTGGCGGTGCGCGTCGAATGCACGAACCTGACGCCGGCGTAGCGAGAAATTCGGAAATTTGTGGGCCCGCGGCTGGTAATTAAATTTCTACCGGCGTTTGCGCAACCTTCGACAGGTTAAGAACCGAACACGAGCCAAACGTTGCCCTGCTCGGATCTACAACAGTCATCGAGCCAGTCGAGGTCGTACACTTCCTAAGTCCCGGCCTTCGACCGGGTTATACACCCATTTTTTTAATTTTCCTTCTAATCTTCCGCCTACGCAACGTGATTTATATCACGTGTGACAATGGATCAACGTTTATCCTACACGTCCCTTTTTTAATTTTCATTCTTTTCTTTCAAAATTATCGTTAATTAAAATTTGCAAATATTAGATGTTTAATTCTCAAACGACGGACCATGAAGAGAGCTCAAATTTTAATTTAATCTCGTATTTCATGTTATTTTCATTTTCTAAATTTTACACACAACGCAAAATTATTCATACGATATTAAAATATTCCACACTTTTGAATTTCTAATGAAATAAAAAGTTATTTACAACCGATGAAAGTTACAAACAATTCTACAATTTACATAATACCCGTATAATAGATTGCATTTTTTTAAATTTATAATTAACGAATATTTTTCCATCTTCATGAATAAACCTTCGATTATTTCGTGTGGAATATTTATTAAAATCCGTGAAATTTAAATCGCTTGTTCCTGTATTCGAAGAGAAGCAGGTTCACACGAGCAATTAACGATCGAATGTAATATCTTCCAATATCCCCGCGAGTTTCGCAGTCTATTTTTCTCCCAATTATTTCAAGCGTACTCCTCGATATACAACGTACGTAGATCCCACGGTATCATTTTATATCTCACAGTTAAAAATATGAAAATACACATAACGGCGTGGGTGTTTATTATGATATCCGTATGTATATGAAGGATTTAAATTAGAATTGCATCAGTTTTAAAAAGCAATCGCGCGTGACCGGCTGCAACGTGCAACTGCATCGTTGCATTAATCGGTAATGAATGACTGCGAAAATCCAACGTTAATCCTATCATTTCGCGCAACTGGAATTCACGGTGTCCTGCTTCATTGACGCGCGTATTATCGAAAATGACTAATGTCGCGGAAAATTGTTACGTTTAATAAATATCATCGCGGGAGCGTAAGTTTATCGAACGTGACGATCAATCGTAATTTTCATGCCGGCCGAGAATATTTCGTTCGATTACACTTATCTGTTAAAAACAAAATTTAATTCACGAGTACGAAATTAACCATTTCTATTTTTCAATTCAAGATGAAATATACACTTATATCAGTGATCTTAGAATACTAGCTTACAGCTATTACGAAAGTTCGTTACAGTTATGGCGAACAGTAAATTCGGTTTATTAACTTCCTGTGTCCTATCGTAATCCGCAAGCTTCTGTCCTGGGGCTCTCCATTCACTTCCGCTGTTCATTTAATACTCTGCTATAATTAAATGGACGGCCGAAGGGAAATGTTGGATTCTCGTCAAAATTTCTAATTCTAATAATTGTCAAAGGATCAATTTTCCTTTTAATGATTACCAATGGAACCGGCAATGCTAGAGTATTGTTCGAGAGAAAAATCGTCCCGATTGGAACATTACCGATAATTATCGATCATCGCAATTTCTTCGCTAATTACTCAAAAACTGTCCCGTCCAATATCGTTTACTCACGGTTGTTATATTCGCTGGAAACATGGCTGGCAGCCCCGGCGAGAAGCAGAAAAACGAACACCCGGGAAACGTAGCGGGATTCCATGTTGTTCCGGTTTCGCCGAGCCTCTGCTCCGAGGAACAATGAAAAAGTGTCGTAGCGTCTGGTATCGGGGCTTCTTTATACGGGACTTCTCTTACGATTGCATCTTTCTCGTTGTTCACTCTCGTTCTTTGTCGCGCCTTCCACCACCCTTTTTATCACACACCTTTCGGACGTTCGAACTTCGCATCCTACGTTCAAGAACGACGCGCCGGAAACCAAATGATAATACAAAGCCGACCCTGATGTAATTTTCAAGGTAATCTCTCGGCACTTAATACGCTTCGCGATGCCTCTCTCTCGACGATTGTTCGGTCAAGGGCCAAAGGACAGATATCAATCGATTACGATGACAGTCGGCATGATTTTGTCATCCGATCAAGGCTGTGCTCGATCTCGTATCGATGATATTACTGTCTTTTATTATACTCGCAGAAGGGTTCCATATAATTTTTCAAACATTTACTAGAATTTATTGATTTGGACTTCTGGTGTAGGATTGAAATAATTTTTCTAAACGATTTTTATATTAAAAAGAATTATTTTTATTTATCGAATTATATGGATATACAGATATAGCCTTATAATATAGGAATACGTTAATTTTTCTACAGGATTTATTTTCGTCAATTTTGATGATCTCTTTCGAAATAAGTTTAGGAAGTATCAATGCCGAGATTAAACTTTAATCTTCCCCTTTCCATATTCCAACCCTTGTTCATTTCTTTCCCAATCTGCCACCGTGAATGTCTTGTTCCGTTAGAAAACAGCCCGGGGGTTGTTATTGTATAATCTCGTTACCAGGCAGCGTTTTCATAAGGTCGAGTTGTTTTCAGATAAGACTGAAAGTCCAATTACAGCTAACATCGTGTTAGATGAATACTTAGATAACGTTGTTTTGTCTTCATTTTTCCACCAAGATTCAGCCTACCCTTCTCTTATCTCGTCTTTGCAATTTGTCATAATGATGTCGCAATTAAAGCTGTCCATTAAAGCATACATTCTCCGCGACGTTGTTATCATCGACAAACGGCAATCGGATTACGAGTAATCATCGTGACAGTTGGTCAGAATAATCGGTACCGTGGAATCTGGTCCACTATGGAACATGAACATTAGCAGATACCATCTTGTAGTTAAATTTTCCGAAAATTGGAAACCCTTTCTCGCCATTGTTGTAGAAATAATGCAAGTTGGAGGTGATGGTTATCAGTTTCCCTTCTGAAATTGCATTTGGTTATTTATACAGCAGGGTTTTCAAATTTAGAAGAATTCATTTTTAAGGTAATTCAATTCTGAGAATCTTTTGCCAGGGGAATTTTTCCGTTTACGAATGATCGGTTTGTCTCTTCATCCCTGAGGAAGGGTGCACCGCACCCTGTTAACTCAGCGGAGAGGAACGCTCGCGATTCGTTGCGTGTGCGGTCACGCGTGCACTCGTGAATGGGCCAGTAACACGCCACAGGGAATATGAAAGCGAGAGTCACTCGACTGTTACTCCAACCACGTTCCGTTGAACTTGACCCACTCTTTGTCTCGCGGCGCAGCCTGCTTCTCTCGTAGCTAACGAAAACGTCACGTCCCTTTCCACCGGCCTCCGTTCTGTGTTCACCTTCGTCGCGAACAGCCGTTCGAGTTACCTGCCCGCGACAGGTACATCACGAAATATTCCTGCAGCTGCTTTAACCGGGTCAAGTTCGTTCCTAGAGATTGGACGCCCACGGACGCGGAACTGATACTTCCAGCGTCTTTTCACCCGCCTTTGATCATTGGACCCCTATGTTACAACGTTCCTTTCCGTTGTAAACGACGGAACAACAGGGAATAATGTAATTATCAGTGCGATAAATATGCATTTAAAAAAATATACAAAGCAAGGTGCAGTAAAAAGGAATTGTAAGGTGCGCGGGTTCAAAACCAATGAGAATGACATTTTTTTTTTTTAATTAAATTTTTACTTATTATTGTTAATATTTTAATTCAGATATTCAGATTTGTATTTTATTAATTTTTAACGAGAATTATTAATTTGAACGAGACGAGTTAGTATATGTTTACAAATTCGCGGGGTCGAAGCACAGTTGCTTTCAGTTCTTCAAACGCTTCGGTCGAGTTCTGTATACTGTGAGTCAGGCCTGCTTCGAAAATGTGAGTTTCTACACATTTACTGTCTTATACTAATAATAGAATATAGAAAATCAAGAGCTTTTTAATAATTAATTACTACTTTTATTCTCAATTATTCAGAGCTTCAATGTGTCTGATTATATATGTATAATTACATATTTTTATTTAATTTATTACATATTTGACAGTCAAGGCAGATAATTATTCGATTAGGTAATTTTCTAATGTATATTTATAGAGGTTTAAGTTTTCGAAGATCTTTCGTTGGGCGTTGAAAGAAGGTCGGTTAAATATTTGATCGGCTGTGTAATTTTAGTTGGCATTGCTCGGTTGCTTTATACAGGTGGTGAGGTCGAAGGCCCTGGTTTAGAGACTAGAAGTCACTGACATTACGAGGCCGACGAAAACGAAATTAAGTTCGGTGAACTTGAGATACGAGCGACCTTCTCCTCCCACGCACCACTATTACACTTTTCTAATCGAAAACATTTATATTCGATGATCTCCAATCTTTTTGAAATTTTTCACCATGCCTATGGGTATTCCTTGACCATAGGAAATGTCACTTTTCCCACCGGTTCTTTGATTCTGTTACCGGAAGCTCCAACAAACCCTGAATCCAAAAGCTACTCAAACCAAAACGGCGGAAAAACGTCGTTCAGGTTCAGCCTTGCAGCGACAATTGAATTGTGAAAGTCCAGAAGCTTGATAGAAAGTATCATAGCGGTGCATAGAGTGTCGTGAATCGGATTATACTTGGTGGAACGAAGGGACCAGTAAAAGTTGGTTGACTCTTGAAGAAAGATGGTCAGCCAATCAATGGTCGATTCATGAGAAAGAAAATTCAATTTTATTTTTAGAACGACGTGGTTTAATATTTCTTTATCAGATAAAATTCATTGAATTATCGTTTGAACAATTTACAAACTATTCTTTATTTCACGAACGTACACAGGGTATTTGAAATTGAAATCCAATTGAAAAGCTGATTCTCACTGAAAGGTACCTTTTTTTTCGAGGGATTCGAACGTCGGGATACATCAGTCAGATATCAGGATACGCGGGTGTTCGATGGGAAAAAAATCGAATTCCATGCGTTGTTGGCTACAATTTACCCATTGATTTTGGTCTGCTGGCTCGCAGCGGTGGTGCAAGAATTTTTTAACCAGCTCCGTCACGGGGAAAGAGAACGAACAAGCTTTTTGATAGTCAGTCCGCGAATCGAGCTTTTGTCGGTTCGCCAGCACGTAGTCGCGATTACCCAGATGCGCGCGGATATTTCGCACGGAAGCTAGTTTATCTTGCCAACAATGCCGTGTCCAATAAAAGCCGACTATCCTGCGGGAGAGTACTTGTTATCGTGACCAGAGAAAGAATCGGCCGATCGGATTTTCAAATCGAACCCTTTTTTCCCTTAGTCGAACAATTTTGATAGAAAAAACAAAAATTTTTCCTTTCCTTTATAATAATATTTTTCACGAATTAAAAATGAAATGGTGGACGTTGAACTTCTTGAAAAATTTTCGAAGGTAATCGATATTAATTAAACGGTGGTAGAAATGAATGTAATTTTCTTTTTTCCACTTTCTTCTCTGTCACAGTAGAAGGTTCATTTTCACCGGGCATTGTACCGGTATCGCTCTCTGTGTTCGAGGTAAACGCTTTTTTCTCGTTTGAAAGCTGCGGTTGACCGAGGGAAAAAAAAATTTCCTTCGCGTTGAAAACTCGTGCAACAGCTAATTTAATTTACCCATTCGACGGCTGCCGTTTCATTCGAGTAACTTTTCCTCGAGCTCGACCATTCAAGGTGTCTAACCACTTTATTTCTTTCTACGACACTGCGACTGACGTAATAAACCTTACATGTACTGGGATATTATATTAAAAAAATTAATTTTTAACATCCTTATCCCTTTGCCCTATAATATCAAGACATACTCGTATCGCAACTGACACTTCAAATGTGTCTTTGACTGGTACTTTTAGTATGGTTCAATTTTTAATTCTAATTATAATTTGTCCAGTTAAGGACATATTTCAATTTTCTTTATTTCTTTTAAAATTCAAGCAACGAATAGTTAGGAACTATTGAAAAAAATCATAGTAGAAGGGATTAATACTCACCCTTCACAAGACGCATCAGGTGCGTCCTCCCTAACCCCCCTGTGGCTGGGGAGTTTAGAATACAGCCACGGTAACCCCTGCCTGTCGTAAGAGGCGACTAAAAGGGGGATTAGGTTTCAGTTAGGGTTAGGTCTCGTCTTAGCTGAAGGTGTTAGGCACCGTGCCGAGAGGCTTGCCCACGCAAGGCGGCTCTGCGTGGGTGGACATTGATTATCGACCCTGCTCATGGGATCCAAATGGAAAAATTAAATACAAACAAAAATAAAAATAGGTGCGTCCTCCCTATAAATTATATGGGACGCATATGGTGCGTCATTAGGTTAAGGATATTATAAGACGCATAAGGTGTGTCATTAGCTTTATTATATAGATTCTATACAACCATACGTTGCGTCCTCAATTATATTACACAAATCAATTGTATCGAACGTATTAAAACGCATCGTGCGTGATCGTACGTGTATAAGATGTTATCGTTATTGGTGGTTCGTCGAATCGGCTGCACCTCTCACCTACGTAAAATGTTTCGCACGACAATATGACTGGTCGTGACGGATCGTTGCATACGAATGATAAGGCGACATTACGAGTTCGCCATCGTCGAGATAAACCTGCTTTAACGAGACGACCTAGTCCCCCTGGCCTGGAAAGGTGCTCCTATTATCGTTGTCGGCGAGGTTTTATCACTCGGCGAGAACCAATAACGAGAGGAGACCGTGAAAATGTGTATTTAATCCATCACGTGCAACGTGTCACCCCAATTACCACGTGAGCTCTTTGAATATTTTCCATTTTTTATATTAGAGACGCGA